CTTCACGGCACACTTCGACCCCATGGGGGTAACGAAATGCTGCCGAAATTTTTGAAAAATTTTAAAACTTAGCTTCTCTTCACTCTCCTCCACCTCCTTATTTATTTATTTATTTACTTATTTATTTTTATGAAAATTTTAATTTGCGGCATTTTGAAAGTTAGTGTGTTCCTCTTGCACTTTCCTTCCTCTTGGCACATTTTTGACCCCATGCGGGGTGGGAAAATGTTGCCGAAAATTTCAAAAAAATAAATATTATCTCTCTCCTCACTCTTTATATTTTATTTATTTATTTATTTCTATTTATTCTTTTATTTTATTTTTATCTCGAAATTTCATTGTTTATTCTATTTTCTTTCCACTCCCCCTTTCCATATCATCTTTTTCTTGATTAGGTCGCCGCTACCCTCCCCTAACCACTTAAACTCCGGTTAGGGTTTTCTTAGAGTTTTTCTAGGGTTTAGGGTTCTTCAAAAACCCCTACTCTCCCGCCTTCTCCCGTCGGACACCCTGGACCTGAACGGCTCCTCCCCCCTCGAGCGATTTGGCGCGTTCTTCTCACGCGCGACCCACCAAATCCGGGGTGAGCCGACTCACACATACTCACTCCGCTCCCGCAATCCCCTTCCTCTTACCGGCGGGCCCCTCTCCCCACACACCCCCGTGAGCTCTACCTCCCTTTCCCTTCCGACCATGGAAGAGAGTTCCTTTGAGGAGATCATCGCGGCGCCGTCCACCTCCCAGGTGAGCGTTCAACCAGCGGGTCAGGGTCAGGCCCATGCGGGCACGATGGACCTTCATGCCACCCTCGTAGCGATTCAGGCGCAACTTAGTACGCTTGGACCGTTGCAAGCGCAAATCAATGCGCTTGCCCTTGACGTCAACCGCCTCAAGGGCTCTCCTCATCACTCTCCCCATCGCTCCCATACCCCATCCCCTACCGACTCCGAGCTCGGCTCCCCACGACCCCAGAGTCGGAGACATCGTGGTTCCCCCTCTTCTACGGGTCAGGCCCAACACTCCCCCGCAGCAGTGGCGAGTGTTGCTGCCGCTCAGACCACCCCGTCTGTTGCGGCAGTTCTCCCGACCACGGCCGCCCCTACCGTCTCTACTACTGCCGTAGGTGCTGCGGTCYAGGTACCGCCTCGAGGCCCAGCAGTTTCATCGACCCACACCGGTGTTGCTTCCCAGCTTCCCGCACCGGTCGCGGCAATACGGCTCCGCCCTCTTCTTCCCGCCTTTGTTCCCCCACCCCCACAGCAGGGTACCACCCAGGCTGGGATTCCTCCTCCCACTGGGAGACCCGCTCCCCCCCCTCCACCTCCGACCCCGCGCACCCAGCGCGTGGTAACTTTACAGGCCACCATTGCGCAGGCTCAGGCGGAGATTCTCGCTCTGAGACAGCCTCACCCATCACAGGCTGCCCACCCTTCTTCCTCTACCACCCCTTCGGTCCCCATGATGCAGGCTCGTTTCCCTCGACCTGCTCCTCAGCCTCTTTCCTCCTACCTGGCTATTCCGGGACAGCTGCCCGCGGCCGTTGCCTCCTCGTCTGTTGGTCCATCCGCTAGCGGCCACGGCCCACAGCTTTCCCCCACCTTTGCCCCTGCAGCAACCTCGACTTACGCTGCCGCAGTGCACTCGCCCCGATCTCTCTCCCCCCGCCATCAGCACAGTGGACATCCTCCTGTGCGAACCACGGACATTCCCGAGTATGATGGCACAACCCGTGTCTCTCGCTGGTTGCAGATAGCAACGCGCACGCTCTCTATGATGACCACCCGTCAGGAGTTGTGGTGCGATGTGCTCGCAACCAAATTGCGAGGTAGCCCTTCCACTGCGTGGGAGGATCATTATACCCAGCGCCTCCGCGTGGGTGAGGTCCCCACTCTGGCCGACTTCGCGGCCTTCCTTCAGGACCGTTTCGGCGCTCGTCATGACGCCACCGACGCCTTAGACCGCGTCACCCAGACCAGATGGTTCGGGTCCTCTGTACCGGCCGACCTGGAACGTCACATCCGGGTGTTTCAGGATGCTCGCCTTGTTTGTGACGAGACGTTCCTACCAGAGGTCACACTCACCGATCGGTTCCTTGTCAGCCTGCCGACTGACTATCGTCTAGAGCTATGGAGACGATCATTCTCTTCCGCGGAGTAGGCATACGAGGTTGCGCGTCAGTACCAGAGGATGTGCAGTCGCTTCTCCCTCGCCCCATCCTCTTCGCGGCCAGCCGCCACCTCTCAGTCTCGGGGTACCACCCGAGGTCGCTCCTCGTTTGCTGGTCGTTTTCGTCGCCCGACCCGCCCTGGAGCGTCATTCTCTCAGCGCTACAGTTCTCTGGAGTACGGCGAGGACGCCTCGRCCGAGTTTGACCCTACCCTTGGGGACGCCCCCGAGGACATCGAGCTACRARACGTYATCCAGTATCACTTGGATSACGACACTGTTCCGGTGGCCGAGCGCTTGCTGATGGCCATGTCTGCCATGGGTCGTGCTCGTAGTCGGGTTGCACAGGCTGGCGCCCGCACACCCACGGTTCCTCAGACAGATCTCCCGCAGGGTTATGTCCCTTCTCGCGGAGCTCTATCCCCTGAGGAGTGTGCCGCCCTCGAGGCCCGGCGCGGCTGCCTTCGTTGCCGCCTGGATGGACACACCTCCTCACGGTGTCCATACCATACCGCCCTCGATCGGCACTATGCTGACATCTCTCGTCAGCGTCGATCTCAGTCCCCCCCCGGCCCCGCCCGGCCACCCCCATCCACCTAGCCACGGTGCACTGTGCCCCTGAGGCCTC